CTCCAGACACGCCGCTGGCATTAGAGGCACAGCGTGGTCGCCTAGTAACGGCCCCGACCACTGCCGCTCGACCTGACCGAAAAAAACCGTAGCAGGAAGCTAGCGAAGTCGTAGCATATATCGTCACAAACAGAACTGTCCGGTAAACCGTAGGCAGAGAGAGAGAAGAGGACAACAAACGAGGGGCTGTGACAAACTGTTTCGTCGGAGTTTCACCGACTCATCAGGAGGTTGAACCCTCAACAGTCTGCAGAATCCCCTCATTGATTACACAGTAAATGATAATCTACCTTAATATATATATATATGTATATATATATATATATATATATCGTCAAACAGATATATATATATATATATATCGTCAAACAGATGTACATATATATGTGTGGGTGTGTGTGTGTGTGGATATTGGTGGAAGATAGCACGTTGAGCGGCTGATGACTCGAGGGTACAGGTAACAGTCCAGCTTCCATGAGGAGGCTTATTTATAGTGCCAGCTGGTAAGGAGACCTCCTATCGCCTGCCATCCGGCACTCATCTACTTGCCTACATCCAGCACCACTCTCGTCGAGTAGCCTATTGTCCAGCAAGTCAAGCGCTCGAAACATCTGTGTGTGACCTCATCTGGTCTAGCTCTTTAAATATTGTTGGACCGACCTCCCTCCTATTCAGTCTTTGTTCTATATTGTACGGAGCTACTTGTGATCTGCGGTCGGCGGTCTAAACAGATATTATGGTTAGCGAACAAACACACAAGGCAAATTTTTCCAGATATACGGATAAAAATAGAAATGACAAGGTCTTCGCAAAATGAGAGAGCAGTCGTCACACAAAAGTGAAAATAAATAGTGCAGAAACTGACAAACACAAGTTGAGATCAAATACAACCTTTCTCTTTAGACAAACACAAATTGAGGTCAAATACAACCTTTCTCATTGGAGAAAATGCAAACAATGTGCTAGTCCACACAGGCCCATGGGCACAAATGGTGCACGATGGCCAACGTGCAGCCTTGACCGCCAAAAAAATATATCTTGGCCCTTCACCTGATGAGGTCAGGTTCCTGATATGCCACACCCCTCCATCTATAAATCGCCACTCCTCCTTCGTTGTCGGACCCCAAGCTTGGGTGGCTACCCCAATCAAATCTGGTTGGTTGGGAGACCATTTTCAATTTGCACCGTGGATGAACCTGCACGAGCCTGATTGGGGCCTACGGGTCACCAATGGGGAATTTTCTCAGTCGCACAGCAGGACTGGTGGCTTATGAGATCAGTCTGCTGCAAGGACAGAGTTGTCGAGCAGAAAGGCGAACCTTGGATCGAAAAGCCCTGTGACAAATTAGGATCTGTGTATGTGTGGATTTCAACGCTATCTAAAGTTAGCCCGAATTTGGCCTGTGTATGTTAAAGGGGTTGATCTCTCCAGTTGCCCCTTTGTCTTTCAAATTTCTGTTTGTAAATTGTAGTATAGTCCAAGTTGTGATGTATGAACTCTATTTCAAACCTCAATTTTGTTGCAAAAAAAAATCAAATTAATGAAATGTTAGTTCTTCATCAAAGGGGTATACCTATGAGTTTGCGCTTCTATAAATCCAACTCCACAGTCCGAGAGAAGGTTAACAACAGTCGTATTTTTTATCACCACTTCAGGACACCCTTCACCACTTCAGTTTGCAGCCTGCCTAAACAGGTGGTTCTCAGGGTCGTCGGACCTTTCACCACCTCAGGACCATTCAGGTCTGAAAATCTTTAACAGTCCTGAAGTGGTGAAAGCTCTAAAGACCCTGAAAACCACCTGTTTAGGCAGGCTGCATCCTCAAGTGGTGAAGGGTGGTTTTCATGGTCTTCGGACCTTTCACTACTTCAGGACCATTCACGATTTTCAGACTGCCCAAAACTCTCACTTGACCACTTCAGGACACCCTTCACCACTTCAAGATGCAGCCTGCCTAAACAGGTGGTTTTCAGGGTCTTCGGACCTTTCACCACTTCAGAACTATTCAGGATTTTAAGACTGCCCAAAACTCTCACTTCAGAATTTTTATTCCTGAATTTTCAGCTACCTGATAACCGCTTGTGCACAATCCGTCAGCGACATGCCTACACTCATTGGATGATTTGCTCTATATTTCTTTTTTTTTTTTTAGATTGTCCCAAAAATGGTTGAAAATTTTAAAGCTCGATTTCCTTACAACAAAAAACAAATTTAATGAATTGTGAGTTATTCATCAAAGGGGTGAA